ATTGTCTTCTCTTCATTTTGAATAGAAATTTGTATTGAAGGGATGCAGAGACATGGAAGGAATGTATATGTGTTTACTACATGGTTATTTATGATAATTACCTTTGCCACAATGATAGATATTGTCCCGATCTTAATATTCGAGACTCTAATATCATTACACAATCCACTTCGCTGATACGCATTTCTCATTAGCATTACCCGGACACTTTTCTTAAATTCAATTTAGCATTACCGGGACAATCTCGAATTTTTATATTGTTAAGAAAATCAAGTGTAAATATTTTGTCATCAATTCCTAATCATAGAACATTTTGTACTAACAATATGAAATATTTACAGACCTAATTTTTAGAATTAGATTTGTAGACCTAATTGTTCCATCCTGAGGTGTAAAAAGATTTGATTAGCTTTTTTCCTTTATCTTCGTCATTTCTTGGCATGGAGTTTCTTTCTATTCTTTCAAAAATTCGTCAAACATTCCTACAGAGAAGTATGTTGGTAGTAGCTCAAACAACATGCTATATTTATTTCTACAAAATTGGATTGAAAAATAAAAATTTATAGTCACAATTAAGATGTTTTTGTTTTGTTTTGTTTTTTGTTTGTTTTGTTAGTTGATCCGATGAAACAACTCTTTTGCTCAATTTATCCAATAATGCAACAACTTTAGTTGGTGGCTTTAATGTAAGAAAACTATAAACTAACAGCAGCGCATTCAAGTTGGTTTTAAAAAAGGCTAACATACGTTAACGGAGACAAACTGGTTAAGAGTAAAGTAATTTTAAAAAATGATTTTTTCTTCAAAATAATTTTAAACAGTGATAATTATTTATTATTTATGATTTTGATAATTTAATTGTGAAATTGTAAAGAAATGGTATCTATTAGAGAAACCAAATAAAAAATTACCCGTCGAATTATACCAAAACAAAAGTTATCAGTTGAATTATTTACAAATTTGTGGTCTTCCTCTAGCTATGGCATTATAACATTCTTTGCTATAAATTAGATTTTAACTCTTTGAATTGTAAACAGTTGAAACAATTGTTTTTCTTCTTGAAAATTTTAGATAAGTAGTTGTTCTCAATAAGTTTCTGAAAGCTTAGTTGATAATGCTCAATCTTATCCACCTTGCATCAGTTTGCACCTAAATCAATAGAATATCATATTTCATATTAATGAATCGTGAAAAAGGGCTATTCAAAGACAATTTTCACTAAAATGAGGTAAATAGGTGTAATCAAATGAATTTAAGTTTAACAATGAATTGAAATTTCATGTATTAGAGAATGCGATATACATCTGCAACAATATACATTGATTAGACCTCTTGTTCAACAGCAATTGAACCCTCTCAATGAACCAAGTAATTAATTAAACTTGTACAAAGATCAATAAACTATTTGGTGAAGAGTTCCAAAACGCTTTCTTGCTTTTAGATGCTGATGTCATTTAGTGGTGAACTAATTGTTGCATCCTTCAAAGAGAATAATGTTTCGTCAATCAGAAATGTGGAGAAGTGTTATAACTTCAGTCTAGATGATCTTGATGTTCTTGCCAATGGTTATTCTCACTTTTGAAGCTATGTTCATGAGGAAAATAGTGAAAATCTTTAAAACCCGTGCACTTTAGGCTTTCTAGGCAAACGCGTTGATCTTGTGCAGATTCCACTATATGTGAGAGGATATAATGTGGAACTATAGCAGATCAAGTATGTGAAGAGAGAATGTTTGAATTAGTTCGTTAACTTGGTTGTAAACTTTATTCATGTAAAATAAAATATGATCCAATATTCTTTCATCAAAGTTTTGGATTATTCAATTGCCTCTGCCAGAACAGGTCTTCTAAACTAGATTTTGATACTCTCAATCAGGGAAGTTGTAAATATGTAATCTTAAATTGGCTAGTAGTAATTAAATGTGTAGTTTAGATGTTTCCATTGCAGAAAATGGTTTATTACAAAAAATATTTACTAAAACTGAAACTGAAAAGAAAACAAAAAATAAACATATTTGGTGATCAAAAAATCTTTGGTTTCCAAATGGCCGAAGCCTATATTAGCCTCTTTTTTTTTGGAGTAAAATATGACACAAAACTCCAAGTCGCTCAAGTCTGAATTAAAAAATAGTCATCTTCTTCAGTAATTTCTTTTACCTATCTATAATCCACTCAGAATTTCAACCAAAACCTAACCTCGCTTGCAAACTCAACTAGCATCCAAGCTCTGAATATATTTATCACCACAATCAACAGTCATCTTACTTCCTGCTACAAAGAAATTACAACAAAAAAGAAAAAGAAAAATGAAGAAACAACACTAGTCCAATAGCAATATAGCACCATCAATCTGGAGAAAATTTCACAATGGTGCCCGATCCAGCTACTGAGCAATTCATTTAATGGCGACCATGAAGAGGGCTATTTTATCACCGTCCAGATTGCAGAGATGTTTTAGACAGATTGCAAAAGAAACAGCCACCTTTGCAATCAAAGTCACAAACGAAGTAATCATTGTGGCCTCGGACGATTTATCCGATACTCGACTGTCTAGCTGTTCATAATGAAATCCGAGACTATCCATGCAAGGGCAAACAATGACACAACAATTTGTTTATCACTATGGTTGCGGTGTACCTGATTGTTCACCCATTCTTACATATGTGTTCAAATATTGTCTCGATTATGAATTGGATAACTGGGGCTTTCCAATTCAGATTTTAAAAGCGGCATATTTCATTGTCCAGAGGATTAAAAGCGACATTGCTCGAGGTGCATATACAATGAATGACTCTCCTCAGTTTATTTTGGCAGGTTTTTATGGCCATCTTCCAAGTGTGTATAAGATTGACGGTAATGGAATCCAAGCGCATACAGGAAAGAGTGAACATATCTATTTACACTTCAGTGGCAGTGGGGACTCATAGCTTTGAGAGCAATGCAAAATAATCTTTCATACATTCTCGACGTATCGATTTAGTTAAATTAGTAGATGAAGTCTTCTGTGTGACAGCAAAGGAGCACTGTTGTACCGGTAACACTCTCTATATTCCTAGTAAAACTTAATGGATGCATTGATATGGGTTGGCATGAGGATCTCTAAGGAAAAATTTATACTCACGCTTAGATAATTAGTATGTCTTTTGCTTTTGAAATTAAATACCCCAAAAAGTAAAATATTTTAGTTAGCCTTGGTTATGATTATGTATTGTTTTTGAGATTAGATAATGAACATATCGAAAAAAATTGTTATTCAGAGTTTAGTTATATTTTGAATTCTAAGGCTTACTAGATTAAACTAGTTGTAGTACTAGTAAACTAGTTATAGAATGCTCGAAGGATTCTAGTATTCATTGTCTGATAATATTATTTTTGTATCATTTGGGTTAGATAAGCCAATGATGAAAAAAAAAAAAAAACCTCCAAATCACTCAATTCATATATTATTTTTATAATAAAAATAATTGGCGAATAGATTTAAGAAATACAGAGCTGATGCTTAATTAGGAATGAAAGTTTAATAAAAAATATAGCCAACCCTCATCTGCGACTCAAATTAGTAACAACAAAATGGCGATAAATTCATTAAGGTGAAAGAAAATCTAGAAAGCTTATCTATCAAATAGTTAAGCTGCGTATTTTTTACAAAATGAATAGATCCATAGCATATTTATTATGAAAACCAAAATATAATGAATACAACAATTAAAAATAAACCGTCCATCAATTCGGAGTGCCTGAAGGCATGTTGTATCACCAAATTGTGCAAAGGTTGGTTTCCAAACACTAAGCGCACGAACAATGACCATCGAATTTGACAATCATCAGAGTGAGCTCCTTGATCTCGTAGGATTGTTCAGTATCCATTTGAAGTTTATATTTGGATTTGAGAACTATTATATTAGAAATTATAATCGCACTGTGTGTTGACAAGCGCACGCATTAACAGACTATATACGGAAGTTTAAAGAGGCAGTGTGGTTTGCTTAATTTTTGAAAGGGAGAAACAAAAAATAAACTATGTATATCATGAATATCAATCTGGATTATAAGTTCAATTTAAAGAATCAGTATGTAATATGCTTTACTTTTGAAAAGAAGAATGAAAAATAATTTGTGTGTATACTAGGGGAGGTCAAGTGGGTAAAGAAATAGGAACGATGATGATTCTTTATTTATAGGTTTCAAATTTAAATTATTTTTGGATGTGTATTATCTATAACTAAAAAAAATCAATTATGCAGATTGGATATAAGTTTGGTAGAATCAGGTTATATATGAAAGTGTTTTAACTGTCAAACCCTATGTGGCATAGGGAGAATGTTTTCCTTATTCTCTTTCTATATTTTCTTTTAGTATACTATTTTCTTTTTAAACAAAAAACAAATTTATTAATAATAAAGAAAAAATAGGGCAACAAATATACTAAACTCTATATCAAGTACAATTTTAATCTTAAAATAAATTTTTAATCCCTTTTCAATCTAGCTGATCAACGAACTCGAACTTTTGCTTTAGCCTTTACTTTTTTCGAATGATTGTGATATGTTAGAGCAGTGACTTCGTTGTATAAAGACTCTTGTTCCATTGCGTATTCCATATCCAAATCTTCATCATCAGAACCATTAGAAGTATGATTTATTCTGCCTTCCGAATTTATTTCTTCAATCAAATAACTTGGGTTTAAAAATTCGGTATTCTTCCCTATCTCAGTATCATCCTTGGACAAGTACAATTTTGGGGCCATAATTGGCAGCAAAACCTGTAAAAGAGGAATTTGCAGCTGAGGAGAGGTGGTAAATTCTGGAGCTTCCGGATTTAACTTTTGACATGAGTTATTACTAGAAGTTGTCGGGGAAGATATTTCTTCCTTATTTGAGGGATAAGATTTCGATTCCACAGATACTGACCACAAATTATCCTCTATTAAATGCGAAGTATTCTCGTTTGAATTTGAAGCTGGGTCAGACGCAAAATTGTAGGCCTTATCCTCGTTCAAAATTAAGAAATCCGGATCAGAAGGTAATGATTGCGCCAATTGCGCGTGATTCTCTTGCAACCGTAGTTCGAGGGCTCTATTACACAGGATTCTTGCCGATTTTCCTCCTCTGGAGATGTTGCTAGTTCTTCGCTGCCAGCAACAACCTTTAAGACTTCAAGAGAGGGATGGTTCTCTGTTGCAGCAACAACATCAGGGTTGGCCGCGAGGGTTTGTTGCACAGCTAGGGTTTGTTGAGCAGCTCGTTGACTTGAAGGTGCTTCATCAATCGAAACATCCACTGCAATTTGCTTAGGCGATCGATTAGAAGCCTTCTCTCCATCAACGGCAACTTGCTGATCAGAAGCTTGAGTCGCCAGTGATGTTTCCCCTGATGTCGATTCATGGATCAATTGTAGTGCACTTGCTGTTTTTTCCTTTGGTTGAGGCATCAATTTCTGGTTTGTGGGATCCAGCATTAGAGAATGAACCGTAGAATTTTCTTCCACTGTCCTTGTTTGCAGAGGTGCAGATGATGATTGATCCTTTAAAGGTTGTTTTCCGGTTTGCGGCGCTGCCTACTTCTCTTTTCCCGGTTGATCGGGCTTGTGAGAAACCACCTTATGCGATGATGCTGCTGTTATGTTGTGTTGACAGGAGATACCATCATGACCAATCTTTTTATAGTCGACACAATATTGGAGCATGTTTTCATAGAGGATGGATTGAAAGTATGACTTCTCTTCAACTCCTAATTGGATTCGAATCGGATACTCCTTGAGGAGGTCAATCTCTACACAGACTTGGGCCACCGAAGGTCGTGACATATTGAGGGTTGGCACATCAATTTGAAGAGAAGTCCCGATGATGCTAGCGAGTTTCCACAAGTAATTCTTATTGAAGGGATGGATTGGAAGACCTTCTAAGGAGATCCAAACCAGAACAATAGATCTTTTAGTATACTATATAGATTTTAAAAAAAGGATATTAGTAATCAAATAAAAAAAATTAAAAAATATCATTTGGTGGCTTAGAAAGTGTTGTAGAATTGTGATGTAGGAGATCATTAGCCTTATTACAAGATGAATTGAAACGGAATCATTTGGAAATGCCAAATTAAAAATAAATAATTTTACATAAATATAAAATGTATAACATTTTTTATGGCTATATGAAATGTATGTATGATTTGTTTCAATTACTAGATATACTTGGTTTTATTTTCAAAAAAAAAAAAGATATGCTCGGTAGTATTTCAAAAAACGGGGTCACTCGAAATGATTACAGGTGAATTGGAACGAGATCATTTATTAAGGTTCAACTAAAAATAAATAATTTTTAACACAATTAAAAGTGATCACAAATTTTTTTGTTGGTGGTCAGGATTTTTTTTTAATTTTATTCTCAAATCTTACATATATATTAATGGAAAATGATTTTGAAGACATGTGTGACTTACGTAATTCGCCCACTAATAGACTCAAACTAATTTGTGATCATTTTGTTAATAAAGAAATTTTTGGTATTATACCATTGACCGAATTAAAGTTTGTATTTATACATATTCTGAATATGGTTGATTTAAACTACAATGCAAGTTCACATACTAAAAGTTACCTGCAATAATATCTATACTTCGTGTGAAACGCAAGGGCCAGTACTTGTTATTATTAAGAATAGTAGGGGAAATAACTTTCATCCTATATAGACTATAGTAAATACAAGCTTAGTGGTGCACTATGCCATCGGCAATCCCCTCCATCCTATTGCCTTCAGGGGACGAGAGCGATGAAGATGGTACTGCTGCTCTTAATGCTATTAACAAGTTTCAAAGTATCAAGCCATGGGTTGTGAGCTTTCTTCAAAATAGGTCTATGCATCCTAGTAATAGCAAGTCTTGGTCTCGGAAAGCTCCCTCTGTATTGAGCAGGTTAAATGCTAATTCGTGATAATTATCAAGTACCAGGTGCTCCCTACCGAAGGCTGTCTCCCCTGTCAATAATGACAATATTAAGGAGAATGAAGAAGATGTACCAGCTAGGAATTACATGTAAAACTCATATTTAATAGGGTTCATTTTAATCGAGTTCTAATCGGGTTCGTTTCAAAAACACTTTTCCCATCTTCTTTTCTACCATATTTTCTATTTTCCATTTGATTCATCCTTGAATCAAAATATCCAACTTGTCGCTGGTTGTCTTGGCGAGTTATAGGTAAAACAATGATAACACTTAAATTTAACCGCTTTTAGGAAGCAATTCTTATTCATTTTTACTTATAAATTACGTCAATTAAGTAGAATTAGTTTACTTTTAGGTAATTTTACATTTTAGGGTGAATAGTTGGCCAAAGTGAAAAATGCTGAAAATATTGGTTCAAAAGGTAGAAAAGATCTTATAAAAGGACCATAAATGGAGCTGCTGGAAATTGGGGCTGGAATTGATCAATTGAAGAGGAAGGAAGATGATGAAATCCTTGTTGATAAAGGTAGAATGGCTGCAGCATCATCACTGCAAGTTGTAGCCAAAGAAAGAAGAAGGAAAATACAACAAATGAAGCTGCCTTGCTGCCAAGTTGCTGCTAACTGATGTTATTTGATTAGAGGAAAAGAGAAGTTGAAATCTTGCTGCTGAAGGGAGGACTGCTGCACTACTATTACAAGTTGCTGTTGCTGCAAGTGGAAGAAGAGAAAGAGGAAGAATATGAAGAACAAAGTTGCAGCCACTCTGTTGATTGCCAATACTACTGCCTTTGATTGAAGTGAAAGAATGGCTGCTAATGGAGGCAAGAAATGGTGCTGCAGATGATCCCAGGAAACAAGGAAGAAAAGAGCAGAAGAGGCTAAATTGGAGGCTGAGAAGGAGAGAACAGAATAATTGAAGAAAAGTATGCTGCTGATGCTGCTGCTTGCTGCCTCTGATGCTGGTGGATGTTGAAAATTAAAGAAAGAAGAAAAGAGAATTAGTGGTTGGAAATGAAACAGAGGAGCCGGAGAAGAAGACTAAAGAAGAAGGCCATGATGAATAGAAGCTGACTATTGCGGCTGAAAAAAAAAGGCTGCCAATCAGAAGGAGGCAACTTGGCAAATTGACAAGTTGCCCAAGTCAACAACTCTTCTCTCTATGATGCAAATCTCTATAAATAGGACATCCAGTAGCAGTTAGAAAATAAAAAATTGGGAAGTTAGAACATATCCAAAAATAGAGTAATTTTAGTTAGTAGGATAGAAGAAAGAGTGCAGACTATCACTCAGGGAAGTGACACAGTTCACTTCCCCAAGTGAGCTGACAGAATTTGCTCTGCTACACTCTTCCCCCATTCTATCCACTATCTTTTGAGTTGTATTATGCTGAATCTTTTGTCTTTTGTTGCCCTTATGTTTAGATCAATAAACATGAGTGGCTAAACTTTTTCTGGGGTCTAATCCCAACTAGATGAAACATTGTATCTAGTTTAAATGTTTTACTTAATATTTTAGTTAAACTGGCCACTTAGCTAATTATGCATGCATAATTATAGAATCTTGAGAGAGTGAACATAATTTTAGAACTGCTTGAACTAGTCTATGACAACGGGAATAACAACCCTTGGTTTCAATCATCAATGAGAGTTAGTTGATTGGCATAGGTGATCACTAAGGCTTAAGAAATCAATAGCTCTGGGTAATGAATAATTATCACTGAGATGGAGGTAATTTGGTTATGCTGGGACTTTTTATAGGTACCGAAGGTGAATGTAGAGAATACACGTATCTGATCAGACAATGCTATATGTGCAAAAAGAACTACAAGAATCAATACATGATCATATAGATAGGAAGGAGGATGTCCCTAGTTCTTTAACATTTGCCAAGTGCCTTTCTCACTTTTTCAAGTGACAATCTGTTCTATTTTTCTTTTTCTGTTTACACTTTGATCAAATTTTATTGATTTACTGCCGTCCCTGTGGATCGACCCTGCTTACTGCTAGCTAATAGTTTTGAGTAGTTTAATTTTCTTTTTTTGGAGATGTCAACAAATCCGTCTCACCAAACAAGAACAAGTCGTGGTACCGTAATTTGAAACAAGCTTCCGCAGAGTCGTGCTCTGTTGTTTTAATTCTTCAATCCCAGATGCTTTTGTCATTTGCATTTTCTGTTGAAGATGACTTGGGAGAAATAGAGTTGAGAAGAGTGAAACAACAAAGAGGAGGATGGGGTTTATGGTGGATCTACAGAGTAAAAGAGAAAAGATGATGAAAGTGGGAGAAAAATTTGGGAGAGATAGAATGGAAGGAAAGAGGCGAAGGCACGATATCTGATTTGTTGGTGATGATAAAGTTTGAAAAGGAAAACCCTAGTGGACTATAATTGAAGTAAAGTACAAATACTTTTGGGCCAGCCCACTAAAAAAATTAGGAAAGATGCTTATTCGGATTTTGGGCGGGACCCAAATATTTCTTTTAAACCCGCGCGCCGCATAGCTTCACAAAATCATTATTCAGCTAGACCTGTTCACGGAACCGATAATACAAAACCCAGACTGTTTCACCCAAAATGGATGCGATTCGGGTGGGTTTCCGGGTCAACCCGAATAAGTAACACCCCCATTGAATCTGATGATGCATGACCCGTATACTATTTGACACATTTGTGGGGATGCCTCCAAAGTTGAAGCACAAATGGCTTGAGATGCAGTTTGATTAGGGAAACTGATTTAGTTAATGTTGATGCTTTAGTAATGTAATGTATTCTATTGTTGTTTGTGTCAAACCCATGTTGAACTTTGTATAGGTTGTTTTTAGCTTTTATTATCTTGTGTAGTATGTTAAGTTTTATTTAGCTCTTTCTACACTTGGTAATGTAAGACGTTTTGTACTCTTTTTTGCTCCAAAAATGATTGTCTAATTTATCATTAATTTGAATGTTTATGCATGTTATTCATATTTATCAAAGTGCACAAGAAAGGATTGGATTGATGTGGATGTTAAAGACATAGATTTTCATGTAATGGTATCAGAAAATACCAAAAAAAAATGAATAAACACCTTTATGATCGGAAGATCCTTTATTTATGACAAACCTGGGTATCTTGGTAATGGTGACAGTTTCAAATCGGAGATTAGTGGAATACTCTTTGGGCTCTAAAAATCTGTGTTATTGAATCTCCCGCAAGTTGAGATACAAACAGACAATCTCGCAATTGCTAAACTCTTAATCGATAAAGAGATTTTCCCATGGCACATCTTGTATGAGTTGTAGGAAATAATTCTATAATTACAAGATCATCCATGTATATTGAGAAACAAATTTCGCGTCCGATAATCTTGCGAATGTAGCATCTTCAGGAATGTCACAGTGTTTCATCCGATTTGAAGATCTTCCGAACACCGCGAAAAGATTATTGCGACTAGATTAATAGGGCTGCCTATATATTCGGTTAGATGGTTTTTCCTTTTAGTTTGAGAGAATAGATTGTCAATTGAGTATGGTGATACATTTTCTAAGATTAAGAATTCAAATCATCTTGTACCTTGGTAAGTTTTATGCACTACCAAGACTGCTATTCAAATATATAAAATCGGGTACCATCCTCGCCAGGTGCTGACCTGGTTCTGGCAAAAAAAAAAAAAACCTTTATAATCAAAATCCAAATCCTATATAAATCTTTCAACTACCAAAAAACATACGATTTGGACTTTTGATACAAATACATATCAAATCCTTACTCTAACCAAACAAGTGATTTGGCATTGACATAAATATATTAACGTTTATTAAACTTCCACAGGTAAATCTTACTTTTGAGAGATTAGAAAAGTTTGGCGTAAGTGTAATAGACATTGATCTGCAAAATAAAACAAATGCGATAATAAGAATTAATGTTGCTATCATAAACAAGCATCAGTTCTAAATTACACAAGCATAAAAATTTAACAAAATTGTCTGAATCAAAATTTTGAATGATAAATATTTCTTAAGATACCAGACTTGATCAATGATGGAAGAAGGATCCATGGGATTTATAGCCGAATCTTTGTAAGACAGTCTTGGTTTTAGATCATATTAGAACCGTCATGGGATTTTATAGAAATTCTTTGTGAGATGGTTCTTCTCTTTGGATAATTCTTAAGTAGTGCCTTTTGTTGTTATTTTTTTATATTTATAAAATCAGGAGGATGCCCGCCAGGTACCGTCTTGTATTCTGTTAAAAAATAAAAGTTCAGATGGACATGAGTTACATTGACACCTTATAATATGACGATGAAACAAACAAGTGCATAATCCAAAAGCTCTGTCACATCCTTTGTCCCATTTCAAAGAAGTGAGAGTTTGCAACTTGGAGACCCCCTGGAGACCTCTCTCTCTCTTTTTTTTTCTGGGAGTAAGAAGCGGGTGAAAAGTATGGTTGAACGAACGATGGGGATGAGCGCATAGATCACCATTACAAGTGCATAAATTTTAAATTGTATTCCTGACTATTGTCATTGCAAGGGTCACAGTCCAGGCACCGGCAAAAAAAAACAAGTTAAACCCATGTTTGAGGGCATAATGAATGAAACAACTATGATCAATTTTCTATTTTTTTTGCATCAGTATGGAAATTCAGAAAAATACCTGATGAGAATCATGTAGCCTTCCATGATGATTCTCTTAGTGAGGGGAATGAGTAGTCCTTCATTCTAGTTTTGGAATGCCAAGTTTACTTTGCAGGCCAATCAAGGAAGAAAGGATGGATCTTGACTACCTATGTGATAGGGAGTTGGTTCAAGAGAGCTATGATCAAGATGATGAGAATGTCATTAACTTTGGGGTTCAAACCAAAGGAGATGATGACCTCATGGAAATAAGTACTCAAGAGTATCAAGAGAGTTTGACTCTATGTGCTCCATGAAGATCATTGATCAAGCTAGTGAGAAGAGTCATTTAGGTTCTTGAATGGATGGCTTATTTGATCAAAGTGTTCAAGATTGAGTCCATTGCTACACAATTCGATAGGTTGCAAACTATCTTAATTGTTTCAAGTGTTTTTCCAATTTTTTGGAGTCAATAAAGAGAATTCTACAAGTTTTGGAGTAAATTGGAGTTTTCTACAACTTAAGGGGCGTAAGACCAATATTCCACTTTTGGAAGGGCGTTCAAGACATTTTACTTCAATAATTTGGAGCTGATTTTCGGATTTAGAGTTTGTCTAAGTCTAGGAGTTAATTTTCAAAATTTTATCTAGTTAGATAAGCCATGTGGGCTGAATAAAGTTAGAGTGTTTTGATTAGGAGTCTTAGATTCCTTCTAGATATTGTTCTACTTGAGGATAAGTCATTTAGATAAGGTTTCCTAGATTTTAGATAGAGTCAAAGAGATCAAATACTCTTCTACTTCTACTCCTTATGAGATAAGATTAGAGAGTCCTAATTGAACCTTTTTTCTTGGTGCTGGCCGAATTTCTTAGCCCATAAATAGGGGGGATGGCCGAAATTTCAAAGCACCCTTGAGTGGTCATTTTTGTTGTCTTTTTTGAGAGTTTTTCCTGTGAGGAATTTTTTTTAAATGGAGTGTCCATTTTTTGTGTCAAGTATGATTTAACCAAGAGGGTTTTCATCTTGTCTCGGATCTTTTGATCTTGCAGAAACCGTTATTTTTCAAGTATGCTTCTTGATAGAATTGTTTTAAAACAAAACTTCTTATTTTCATACTACTTCTAGTAGTTCGATTGATGAGCCTTTCTTTTGGCTTGGTGTTCGAATTCATGATGTGTGTGTTCATGAGTTCCATTGTGGGGTTTGTTCTACTTTTGTTGGATGAGTTGTGCTTTGGCATAAGCATTTTGAGATAGTGTATATGTTGCATATCTTTGTTAGTTATGGAGATTACTAATCAACAGTATTCCTTCATAGTTGAGCATTGTTTGCTCCTACCTTTCTTGAGTCTCTTGAATGATGACTGATCGAGTATATTGAATGGTGTCCTTCCTATTCTTAGTGTGGGTTGTTGTTTAATTCGAATCTTTCATGGATAATGTGTTCTTTGCTTGGTTTGAGTTAAGAGATAGAAATCACTTAGATAAACGATCGTCTTACTGTGAATTTTTCGCACTCTTTTGAGTTTCACGGGATAGACAAATTATCTTCGTACTTTCTTGTTTGATGGTTGCACGAACGAAATTTGCTTCATCTATGAGATTGCTATCAATACCCCTAGAGATAACCGATCTGATCGGGAATCATATGTTATTTAGGGTGATTGTCAGTAAGTTCAATATGGTGAACAAATGCCAGATTTACACTGCTATCGAGTGCAAAGATGATAAAGAGCGGATCAACAAGTTTATGTCTTTGACAACGAATGAGGAGGTAAAAATACACTTCTTCTTGTTCAATTATTGGAAAAATAAGCCAAATGATAACGATAACTATTTTTTGGGTACTTTTTGTTGTAGGATGCCATTATGGCCAATGAAGTATTTGCTTTTGTGCCGCCATCTTCTATTGTGAAAGCTAACCTAGATGTAAGCATAAGTTTGATTCTTACATGAAGCATTAGAATTATAGTTATACCCTGAACTAACATGTTTTGTCTAATATTTGTAACATTGCAGACAATTGGTTTATGCAATGATGCTGAAGATCAAGTTGTTGATCTCAAAAATAATACATTAGTAGCTCGTTATTAAAGTAAAAGACCATTCAGGATGAGGAGGCTAGAGAAGCAAGTGTGAAGTCATTAATTACAAAGAAGAAGAGTCTCATAAAGACAGAGAAGGTGTTCAAAAGGAAGTAAAACAATCCATCATATCACCACCTTCACCTTTTCATTGTGAAATGTTATGTAATTTTATTTTTGTTCTACTACTCCAACTGTGTGTTAATGTTTACTTTTATTTTGTTTTTACCATTTCTAGACCTAGCTTACTCTATAATACGTACTTGGACTATGTGTCCAGGATCTTTACTTCCATTTGGTTTCCAGCATTTTTTAAACTTGTACTTGTAAACAAAACATGCACGCCCTCAGAACTTATGCTATCTAACAGTCATCACGAATTAAGTAACCATGGGTGATTTTTTCCTACGCATTAGACCTTTTCTACACTACCTTGAATGAGAATTACAAGCTAAGATACATATTATACCTTCAATTTCCATATTAGAATCTTCATTTTTCTCCTTACTTTTTACCAACAAAAAGATGAATTGCGAATTGAAAGGATTGATGTTTCAAAATTTATTATCAGGTTGTTGGTAGAATATATTTAGAAATCTCATAACAGATTGCAAATCAGCCCTCTATGAGATTGAAGAAAAAAATAAAGAGGGAGAATGAGCGAAACAAAAGAAAATAAAGTCAGAAGAAAAAGGACTAATTTTCCCAATTTCATTTCACAGTCGACATGGTCTAAAAAATGAATGACAGTAGGTATAATTATTTAATTTCTCACTTTGTGGAAAGGACATATTCAGCTCGCCTAATTAGGGTCCTCTAAGATGATTTTTTTTAATAAAAATTCAAAACAAATGAATAGATTCATTGTGGCTTATTGTTATATACTCATGTTGGAAGGATTTCAAAATATGATTGTGTAAATATTTATTGAAAATAATATCGCCACTTTTAATAGCTGTACAATTTATTTTTTCCAATTACAACATAGTAATTTTTGATTCATTTGATTTTTATTCAAAAATATATAACTTTAATTCAAAAATAATTTTGTACCCGTGCATTCCTAATCAACCTATATTATAATTGCTGAATACTTAGGAGAGTTTGGTAGTCCTACAAGTGTGTCCACTTATGTTTTAAAAAAGACCAAATATTCCCCACACGTGAGAATGCCACGTCGATAATGCCAACTTATTTTAACGATGAATGCCAACTGAATACTTATTGCATTATCCACGTGTGAATGCCAACTTATTGAAAGAACCCCACTTTCTCCATTTTTATGCTTCCTACTCTTTCACCCCTGTCCAAACATCGGTCAATAATGGATCATTAATTTGTGGTTTAATTTCTTCATTCAATTTGGAAAGCCTTCTGTGTTCTTCCAACTGATCTATCTTGACAATCTTGCTGCCCAAGATTCGAATTTATTCTTCATTCTGTTGCTTCCCACTCTTCCACCACCGTCCAAACATCAGCCAATGCATTAATTTGTGGATTAATTTCTTCATCTAATTTAGAAGGCTTTCTGCCTTCTTCCAACTGATCTCTCTTGTCGATCTTGCTGCCCAAGATTCGAATTCAAGCGAAAAAATTACTATAAAAGAATGAACTTTTCCAGCTATGGTTTTTGAAATCAATCCCCTCACTGATTTCATCCGCTTCCTCCTTCAAGTTCGTCCCAATCAATTTGCTACATCACCGCACACCGCAACAACCCAAGCTTTATCAATCACCCCTAATTCATCCCTACGAAATCGACACTCTCAAATAGGTGAGCTCTTTCTATTCCCATTTCGTTGTGAAAATTATAAGTTCAATAGTGTATTATAGGTGCTTTAATTTCTACCTGCTGGACGAAAACGGGGGCCCGTACAGAGTTTGATATTGTTGCAGTGGAGCCTCTAATGTGGTACTCATTTTGCAGAGTTTCTTACTGATGAGACCATGATCTACGAATGTCCTCATGGTGGAACATGCATTGAGGATGCTAATGTAACCCAGTGAGGTTAGACAGATTATTTCTAATACAACCATCTTTTTCAATGATTATCGAAAAATTCCTTCCAAAATGTATACAATTCGCTAAATCAATGAGCTCCAAGATTATAGACAGATAAAACTTTAATTACTTGTTAAAGTGATGTCGCCGGACATTTATGAATTGTCTATCTTTGTTAGGTTGTATTGTATTGCAGTTTTCCCACTTCCTAATACTATCTTTGCCTATTCTTGTAAATTCTCGTTTTGAAATTCATCAAAACAAAGCTCAATGAAAGCATGGATTTAGATGTAGGCTGCATTACAAAATGATGCGCTACTGTTCTTGTTTCGTGAGGATAAATGTATGTTTGTATGATTAAAGGATAGACACATACAGTTGGTATCCTTTTAATTGACTTAGAAATCACCAAGTTCAACGTATTTGCATTGGTTAAGGCAAGCATGCGCATGTGTTTGCATATATATATATATATATATATATATATATATATATAAATTGCAAGGAACTACTTAGAATACTTGGGTGGTTAATATATCAATTTGTATTGCTGGTTGGAAGAAAGCTTCTTTGGCTGCAGAATTAAAGAAAGCTTAGAATGACCTGTGATGTACAAAGGCATATCTGATTTGTAACATAGCTGGTAATCAAACTTGTTGTGAAGAGTCCATATAAGGTGTTGAGTTTGGTTTTCTTATATTCAGATATGCGTTAGTTTACCTATAGCTCCTTGTAGTAATCTTCTACCTTGCTTCTTTGCGTCTTTCATTTTTCTATTTGCTGCATAGTTCCTCACAGTTGAGTTTAAGAATCCATATATTTTAAATAGGTTATTCGTGGTTTTACTCATTTATTCTTTAATATGCATTTTATGAAAAGTACCACCACCACTTTATTTTCTAAAATCACACCCTGAATCTGTAAAATCAACGCGCCTAACAAGTTTATGTTTGGAAGAAAAGATGATGTTTATTTTCCAAGCTTTTACTTTTCCATTTTACATATTAGTGATAAGTAATACAATTTTAAATACAAAAGTCTAATTTTAGCCTGAGATATATTCTTATGCTGCTTTACTATTAATATAAATCGAACTACATTTTGTACCCTATTAATATAATCATTATTGATATGGAACTGTCGTGGATTGTTGTAAAATTGAGAACATACCCGTTGTAACTGAAGAAGCTGTGCTGCGAGAAGTTAGGAAACCTCTGTAGATCCGGATAAGTACCAGGCTGAGTATTGCTCCACCTTCCAAGTCCTGCCTTGAAGCTCTTCTCCCAATGCTTTAATTATGTGCTTGTACAATTCTGAATGCATATTAGATCTCCGAAAGCAGACAAACACATGATTAATACTTTAAATCCAATGCATAACGTCCTCATTCCTATGGATAGCTGTGGTTATGATATTCTACTGTAAATAGTTGGTTATTTTTCCATGTTTATAATACCATAGTTTATCCTATTTTGCGTCGGTATAGATGGACCAAAACTCCCAACGTCGGAAGCATTACGTCGAAATGTCCCCTGGAAAAAAAGCCGAACTGCTTCGACGTAGGCGAGAGGCTTATGCAGAAAAGAAAAAACAAACAACCGGCTGCAGCACTAACCTCTCCGTTATAGGTCGTACTAAGTCACAACATGCCGATGAAAAACCTATAAACACGAACATGGCAACGATGGAAACCTCTTTTTTGAAAGCAACAACTAAGACAAGGCATTGTAATAATATTATTAAAACCCATATAGGGAATGTGGAGAATAGTAATAGTATCCAAACCTGCAATGAAGACACTGGTCCAACTACAATAACTAAGGATAACATCCTCCAAATGAATACTCCAACCGAATCCCGTATAACCTGTCTGCCACAGTCCGTTGAACAACTACGTACCACTATCGGCCAAAAAGACGACACTTGCTCCACTGCAGCAGACCCCCGACAGAAGAGAAGCCCTGGAATAGGTGATGCTGCTTCTAACCTTTCAGATTCTTGCTGGTTCTTCTATTCCCCTTACACCGGTACCCCAACAACTCTAATGCTGATCCTGTTGAAGAATGAAGGCTGATTGTTACTATTCCCCATTATATAAATGATTCTAAACCACCCTATACGTCCTAATTGTTTGCAGAGTTTTTAATAGTCACTGCAACTTGGTACTGTTTTTTTGTTGGGTGGCACCTACCATTCCTGCATAAACCTTTTATTTTACCATCAACTTGGTGACATTATGCAGATACTCGGCTTGATAAAATCCCCACCAAACCAATTGAGCTTCCACCTGCTCCAAATTGCCCGCATTGTTCTGCAAAGCGATTCCAACATGAACCCAACAATTTTTGCTGCTCTACTGGGGCAGTCTCACTATCAATCCCGCCCATGCCCGATTCTGTCCGTAAATTATTAACAAGCACCGATGAAGCCTCCAAGCATTTCAGGAGTTATATCCGTACATACAATAATAACTTGGCTTTCACATTATTAAAAGTAAACTATGACCCAGAGCTCACCAAAAATGATCATGGAGTGTATACCTTCATAGTCCAGGGACATGTTTATCACACACTTAAACCATCAGGGCCAAACAATGAAAGCGCAAGGGGACTGCATACTGAAGATGAAAAAAAACAAAGGTTGCTTTCCTTCGAAGGCTTGAAAGAACCCATCCTCCGTTCCTTATTAAAGACTTTAGAAGAGCACAACCCATACTACAAATTCCTCAAAGATTTACGTGATGTACCAAATCTCTCAAGGCACAGAATTATTCTAAAATGTTCCCCTGAACTTGACCAGCGACGTTACAATTTGCCTCAAGCAGATCAAATTGCAGCTATATTTCGAGAAGAAGAAACTATTAGTGAAGATGTTGACAGATCTGCTCACATCCAGATCTATAGCCAGGATGGGAAAATTTACAGAGTCAAACATTTGTATGCTTGTTATGACACCCTCCAGTATCCTTTACTGTTTCCTAGTGGAGAGAATGTGGATGGCATCCTGCTATAGAAAGGAAAGAAGCCACTCCAAAATGCTCTAAAGTGTCGCATTGTAATAATGTTCAGCCGTATCAACCTTCGCAAATTTCCTGTGCCGATGACCTAATCTTTCAGGAAGAACAAGGTAAGCCTTGTATGCTTCATCCAAATTCATTATTGTTCATTAATTTCTATATGACAACACATGATGAATAAGACATTAAGAAAATGTCTTGTTTTGTAGTTGCTCAGACAGGGAAGAAGAGGAAAAGCTACGTCACACCTAGAGAGTACTATTGTTACAAATTCCATATACGAGAAGATGACATGTCAATGCTTTTACATACAACAAGATTATTGCAGCAATTTGCTGTTGATATGTACGTTAAGATAGAAACTTTTAGGTTGCAATACCATCGGAAAAAACAAATGGAAATACGGACCGAAATACTCAAAGGTGTACTAGATAGCATTTCCTTGGGACAAGTACAAGGGTCAGAAGTTGGACGGAGGATTATCCTTCCTGCTTCTTTCCTTGGGGGGCCTAGAGATATGCGTCGAAGGTATTTGGATGCAATGGCTTTGGTCCAAACATATGGTAAGCCAAACATTTTTCTAACTATGACATGCAACCCCAGTTGGAAAGAAATCCAAGAAAACTTGCAAGAGGGTGAAACTCCAAATGATAGGCCAGATTTATTAGCACGGGTGTTCAAAGCCAAATTTAAACTCCTTATAAAGGAGTTGAAGGAAAACTTGTTTGGAGAGGTTGCAGCATGTGTACATGTGACCGAATTTCAGAAAAGGGGAATGCCTCATGCACATCTATTGCTGATTCTTAAGCCTAAGTACAAGCTTTTAAACCTGAATGCTTATGACAGAACAGTTTGTGTGGAAATCCAAGACGAGAAATCATCTCCTTACCTACATGGCCTTGTTAAAAAGCATATGATGCATGGCCTATGTGGTTCTATGAACCGTGAGAGCCCATGCATGCGTGATAATGCATGTAAGAATAAGTATCCTAAACCATATCAATCTCAAACAACACATAGTGAAGATAGCTACCCACATTATAAGCGAAGGAATGATGGCGTAACTTCAAAGTAAGGCAACATGATTTGGATAATCGTTGGGTTCTCCCTTACAATCCGTACCTTCTTGCCCTGTTTGATTGCCACAACAACGTCGAAGTTTGCTCAACTGTGAAACTGGTAAAATATATATATAAATATATATACAAAGGCCATGACCTCATAAGTTTCAAAATTGATACTGATGACAGCACAGAGGTTGTTGACGAAATCAAACAATTCAGAGACGGACGCTGGGTTGGACCATCAGAAGCCATGTGGAGAATCTTTAGCTTCGATATGAGCAAAATGACACCTTCTGTCTACACCCTCCAAGTTCATCTACATGGCGAACAAGTTATTTCATTCCACAAAAACACCAACCTGTCAAATTACTTGAAAGGTGTGGATTTGACAAAGACAATGTTGTCAGAATTTTTCAACATGAATCGGACAAACAGTAAGGCACAATCTCTTCGACTATTGTATAAGGAATTTCCAGAGCATTTTGTTTGGAGTAAAAGCCACAAATATTGGCATGCAAGGAAAAAGCAATCAGTCACTGGCAGGCTTGTATCCGTCTCACCTAAAGAGGGAGAACGTTATTATTTGTGCCTCTTGCTCTCTCATGTGCGATGCCAACATCATTTGATGATCTACGAACTGTGGAGGGAGAATGTTGTCCAACGTACAGAGAAGCTGCTTTAAGATTGGGCATATTGGAATCAGATGAGTACATTGAGGATAGTCTCTCGGAAGTGTCAGCCTATCAGTTTCCGGCTGCCATGAGATCTTTTTTTGCAATACTTCTGGTATACTGCTCTCCAAACAATCCCAGGCAACTATGGGAAAAATTCGAAATGGAGTTTACTGCTGATTTCCAAAAATTGCATGAGTATACTAACTACACCCATGACCAAATTAAAAGAGTGGCCCTTTTGGACATTAACACGATGTTGGAACAGATGGGAAAGAGTGTAAATGATTTCAATTTAGTTGATTACGTGATCCGTTTTGATTCTACAGAAAAAATAACACGAGAAATACAAAGCGAAATGAATATTATTGTGACCAAAGAGGATTTAGAATTGGAACAAATCTTAATGTTGGACAGAAAGAAGCCTACTTCACGATAATGTCTCATGTACATTCTGGCAATGCACAAGCTTTCTTTATTGATGGCCCTGGAGGTACTGGCAAAACCTTTTTGTACCGAGCTCTTCTGACCCAAATTCGAGCAAAAAAGCAAACTGCAATAGTAGTAGCTTCATCAGGTGTAGCAGATGCAATCCTCCCAGGAGGAAGAACGGCACACTCTAGATTCAAAATTCCAATTGAATTTACACATACTTTAAGTTGTTCTCTCAGCAAACAAAGCAACACCGCCAAACTTATTATTGATTCAAAACTCATTATTTGGGATGAAGCAACAATGGCCAAAAGACAAGCAATCGAGGCATTTGATCTCTTGCTAAAAGACCTAATGAACAATGACAGACCATTTGGTGGGAAAATCGTTATTTTTGGGGGTGATTTCCGTCAAACTCTTCCGGTCATTGTCAACGGCACTAGAGAAACACAAGTGAATGCTAGCATTTTTAATTCATTCTTATGGAGATCAATGAAAGTACTGCAGCTTAGTGAAAATATGCGAGCGCTTTTGGATCCAAATTTCTCAAGCTTTCTCCTCAGAATAGGAGAAAGGACGAGCTAACTGATGAAAACGAGGAAGTGACCCTCCCTTTTGATATTGTCATTCCTTTTAGCGATAATGAGTCATCGCTAAATAGGTCAGTTAATTGTCTTTCAGCATCAAACGTGTTATTTTGTATTATGCTCCATTTGGAACAATAATTTCCTTACTCTACTGTTGTCAGCTTGATTGACAGCGTGTTCCCAGATCTGACACAATATGCACGTAACCCCTATCAAATGATCAACAGATGCATTCTTTGCCCGAAGAATAGCTTAGTGGGTGATATCAATGACACTATGATACACAGGTTCCTTGGTAACTTGTGTATCTATACAAGCAGGGATAAAACAGTAAATGAGCGGCACCAAGGGGGTTATGAAGACTTTGAACTCTCTCAACCCAAAATCTTTCCCACCCCATAAACTCCTCTTGAAAGAAAACTGCCCAATCATCCTTCTAAAAAACCTAAATCCAGTTGAAGGACTATGCGATGGTACCAGGTTGATATGTAAAGAATTGACATCTTTTACCATTTTAGCTGAGATTGCTACAGGGCAGCATAGAGGTCAAAAAATATTCATTCCTAAGATTCCCCTTCACTGCTCGGACAATGAGAAGAATGGAATATCGTTTATACGAACTCAGTTCCCTATTCGGTTGTGCTTTGCAATGACAATAAACAAAGCGCAAGGCCAAACATAGGATTTCGTTGGGATCTACCTAAGAGAACCAGTATTCTCACATGGTCAGCTTTATGTCGCACTATCACGGGCAAGAACAGCACGATGTGTTAAATTTTTGATTTCTCCACCAACTCTTGAAGAATATAAAACGGACTGCAAGACTCGGAACATTGTCTACCAAGAAATTTTCCAGTTGTCAGCACTTCAGTTGCCTTTCCTCAATATACCGCATTGACAACCATCCTTGTAATTCATTGCTGCAGGTCCCGAATAATGCAGATCTTAAAGTTAGGCTACACATAACATCACCAGATTGTTATCATAGATTTAAAAGCCTTTCATGATGTTCCTGTAGCCTGGTAGTGCTCTTTTTAAACTTTTTAAGAATTTAGCATCAACTTCCGCGTAAATTCTAATACGTAGTTTGATATGTTCTCACGTTATTGTGATGCTATTTTTACTGTATTGTTTCTTTCCTTTAAAAACTACTTATGAACTTAGTGTAGAAGTTCTTGTTGCTGTAATTGAAAGATTAAATGATTTTCAGTGGCAGTAATTATGAGTATCTAATTTTTCATTGTTTAATGATTGGATAATGAATTTAGAGTGCACACACTGTTAGAGATTCATATAGGGCATACTATTATTTGCACTTCTCAATCAGGAGTCTAAACATCTGTGAGGTACCTTTTCATCAAATTCACTACTCAGTCGTCGTTATCAGAAATTGACAAAATAACATTTTCCCAATAATGAAAGTAAACATTCTTTCAACGAAGCAAAAGTTCATTGTTGTGGTTGTGGAAGTTTTTTGGTAATACTGAAAAGTTTGAATGCATTCATATTCTGCAGGTATTCTATTTTTGGCTCTTCGAAAATGCCTGAATTTCATATCTTTGCCCTATGTTGCACAAGTAACAACATATTTATTATACTCACACTCATCATCCTGCTCTAAAAGTTTTTTTCTTTTTGGGTTAAATTAAAAGATGATTCTTGACTCACTGCCAGAATCTTGGATTCGCGATACATGATGTTTCTTGAATTTTTTTTTTTTTTTTGTGATACAACCTCAATTCCTGAGTTTCAGCTAAAAGTTAGTCTGTCTTTAAGTTCTCAAAGAAGTGAACAGGAAGTTACTTTGTCCTTCCTCTTTCAGAGCTTAGACTTATTTGTCCAAGTAATAGATATGCATAACCCTAATTGGAATATCTAAATAATTGAACTATTGTTCATAGGCTCCTGGTGCCGATCTCCTCAACAATTGAAGCTGAGAATCAACACATAGTGTGACAATCAACTTTTAATGCCAAAAACCTTCGCCAGGTAACATTGACGAACACTTATAACCCAAAACTACATTTCACTCAATACGGTTAATTTAACTATGTTGCTGATTGATTTGTGCACACAACCTTTGCAGGTGTTGAGGCCATGACACTTATTCTTGAGGAGTCGCTGCGTGTTGAGATACTAGAACAATATTTGCAAATTATATTTACCGGGCCAGGTGGGAAGCGACGCCAAAATATAAACAAAGTTCAACCTGAAGTTCGCATTTCCCATATCCACACTAGGGTCATGGGTCAGTTCACAGGTTTGGCCTCGGTCTCCTTTTCTCTATGGTTTATAATACACGAATTTAAAATTGTATACCAAACTGGAAATCGCTAACCTCAAAGAACCAATAACTCTAAATGGGCTGATCTCAAATAAAAGACAAAAACTAAACATTAAGAAAACAACTATAAACTCCACGAAAAACTCATTCCAAAAGTTTCTAAAGGATCACCAACAAACATGCACGCTTCATTTGCACACTGAAATCACCCTCACCAAAAAACAAGATTACTAAGACAAAAATAACTGACAAAAACAAGTAAAAAATCCATTGACCATTGCTAAATCCGGCGTAACAAAGCCTCTAATAACGATATCTAGGAAAAATAAACCTAATCACTTCTTCACTACGACATTCATCATGAAGGTGTCTGCAGATTTATTCCCGCTGGCTTTCATTAATTGAAATCTACATTTTGCACCGTTTGAAAGATAGTTTCTCTTATAGAAATCCTTCCATCCAGTTCCAAACACAACATGCTTGCTCTGCTTCCTTCCTCCGCCTCGAAAATGTTTAACCTGCACCTTGAACCTCCCTTTCAATGAAATCAACACCACAACTTTCATGCTTCGGACATCATACACGTCAATAAATATGGCTAGAATAGTCTGAAATGTATACGAAACACGGAGTTAATATAAAAAAATAATGTAATATTGAATCATCCATAATGCAAAACACTACCATCACTCACCACCCAATTCTTATGATGCTCCTGAATGTTCAACTCAAAATATGGATCAGCCTCTGGAAAAAAATAATAATAATTAGTTACAAGAACATACAACCAATATCACACAACTATTTTTGATAGACCAAAACAAAACAAAGACAACTATATCAACTACAAACACAACCTTCTTCCTCTAAATCTCTTGCCACAGAAATAGGATGCACTTCCATTCCATATGACCCTTTTTCATTTACAAGCAACCCTCCTCGAGTGCAGCAAGGCATACCTCTACACACTTTAAGATCATACATCAAACCATTCTCTTTTTGAAATATCAGGTAAGCATTTGAATTTATATTATGAGCACCAACAAGCCGTTTCCATTCATTACCAAACAGAACCCAGTTACCATCAATGTTCTTCTTAGCATTAACTATAAACATGCCTTTGGAGCTACGCAATTTTAACTCACAAACTTCTTCAACGCCACATGGAAGTGTAATAGATTGAGGTTGTTCCTGCAAACAAAAGAAGCAGAAAACCAAAAAGAGGAATATAATCAAAAGTTCTTGACAACAACGCCACAAAAATATTTCATCCATGTGGAATTGACCAACTTACAAAGGCATTCTCAGCGCAAACCCACATTAAAACACAAAACCTATTCTGCATCCAATCAAATTTCCCATGACTAAATTTCTCGTAAGATGAAGTACTGTCGAACGCGGCCACATCAATATTTCCATTACGCGCGTAGCTAAAACATATTATGTCTCCAGCAACCAGACCAAATGCGGAAACAAAATTATTCCAACCTTCACCAAAAACAACACCAAAATGACGCTCATAGAGCACATTGATATTCCAAGAACCATCACGCACACTTAATACCAACTCAGAAGGAAGTTCCACTCCAACTTCATTCCAGAAGTGAATTGCAAATTCCTAAATTTGAGATACAACACATCGTCATCTTATATTATTGAGAAATTTACAAACCAAAAAAATATAAGTATAGCAACAAAGTACACGTTGCAAGAAGATTACCATTTGCAACCGAAACTCATTTGAACAACCTGCAAAAACTCACCTATGTCCCCGAGTGCATAAACTATGATAGTTCTGCAATATGTTTCACTCCAATAAAAAAAAACAATATATTTAGAACAATACCAATAGGAGGAAAAACAACCAACGAGGGAAATCAGAGATAAAAGTATAAATTTATGGAGTATACAGTAAAACATGTGAGTGGAAGCAGTTACAAATTTCCAATTATATGGTAGTAATTACAAATAATAACTATGCCTACTCATACAATTTCATTATCAATTCACATAAATACAACAGAATTATTAAAAATTGCCTTATTATTATGATTATTATTGTTATGTTATTATTAAATTGCTTAATTATATTACATACCAACCATTACAAAACCCATCAGGAAATACCCAAACAAATTCCACGTATTATTAATATTACATTTCACGATAATATTAAAAAATAGAATGATGACTATAATTTATAACTCTCTTACAAAAACAGTTATGTATGTGCATATAGCAAAAGCATCCCACTACACTTGCATTTACTTCCATCATTATCAACATGAAACATTATTATTAATCAATATAATTACACACCCTTGAGATTCTTCTACACCAACCCCCCAGCCAATAAAATCTCCTTGAATCCTAAATCCCACCTCTCCTCTTTCTCTCTCTAGGCGATTTCGAATGATCGAGTTTTCGCCATGGTAAAGGGTAAGCAGAAGGGGAAATGGAAAGCAAAAATGCCAGATCTTCCCTCTATTCCGGCTTCTAGTAGTATGGGAAAACAGAATCAAGAGGCAGATTTGATTAATTCATTAAGGGTAGAGAGTATTGCGAAAGGGGTTCTCTCAAACCCTAATGAGCCAATTCTAAAGAGATTTGCAAATATTGTTGCTGATGATGCATCTACAAAGATGAGTGATATCTTTGATGTTCCTACTGTGAGACGAATCAACTGGTCTGCTCCTAACTCGCCGGATTTACAGAAGGCACAACAACTCTGGGAGCAGTTTGACCCGAAGAAACTGAAGAAGGCGGGAGCTAAGCTAGATTTTATTCAACCTAAGGAGCATGGTGGAAGGAAAGTTTGTCAGATGCGTCAACAAGATGTGCAAGTGGAGGTGGAATACTGGGAGCAATCCATTTTGAGCTTTGTCCTGGGAGCTAATCCTCCCCTTTCAGTAATGGATCGTTACTACCGCAATCTGTGGAAAGGTAACATTGATAAAGTTCTTTTATTGCCATCCGGGTTATTTTTGGTGAGATTTAAGTCGGTAGCAGCTAAAGATGAAGCACTAAATGTTAATATTTATCATATGGGGAATAATCCTATTATAGTAAAACCTTGGAGTTTAGAACAGGGAATTAATTTGAAAGAAGTCTTGCATGTTCCTGTTTGGATTCAGTTCCCTGGTCTGGATCTCAAATATTCGAACCCTACATCCCTTAGTCGACTGGCTAGTAATTTGGGGAGGCCTACTATGGCTGATACAGAAACAACTGAGAAATCCAAAGCTCAATTTGCTAGAGTACTTGTTGATGTGGAGATTCAGGATCTTCCTCCTGTGGAAACTTACTATGAAGATGGGCATGGAACTGTTCAAACTCAAGCTGTGTATTACGAGTGGAGACCTACGAAATGTTCTCACTGTCAGGCTTATGGACATGGTGGAGAGGTCTGTAGGAAGAAGAATATTGCAAACAAGGGGAAACCAGTTAACATAAATACTCCTAAGCCCATCAGTACTGTTGAAAAAGAATGGCGTAAAGTTCAGAAAGGCAAGGAAGTGGTAGAAGAGAGTGATAAGAATGAACTGGAGCTACCTGTGGAGAGGATTATCTCTAATGCAGATATTATCAGTAATGAAGCACCACAAATACGGAAACTTCAACAATCTAAGTTCTCTGTATTGGCTGCAACTGATACAGCAAGACCAAGCCAGGAAAAAACTGATGATCAACAGGAGGAGCAGAGGGGATTATCAAAGGAGCCTGATCCAGGTATAATATGACAAGTCTATTACCTTGGAATATCAAAGGTCTTAATAGCCTCTGTAAGCAAAGAGAATTATCTAATTTAGTTGCATCCTTTAAAGTAGAGATTATTTGTCTGTATGAAACGAAGTTGATACAAACTAAAGGGGTTGAATATATAAAAAGTAGATGGCCAAGTTATGAATACTATGTTAATTATGATCATAGTCCTAGAGGCAGGGTCTGTTTGTTATGGAAGAAAGAGAGTATCACTCTAACTGTGTTAAGTGCTTCAGATCAATATGTGCATTGCAAGGTCTGTGCTAGCAGAAATAGTTGGTTTTATCTTACTGCAGTTTATGCTAGTAATAATCTATCTGAAAGAGATCAATTGTGGGAGGATTTAAGTGCCATATCAGATAATATAGATGGTTCTTGGTTAATTGTTGGGGACTTCAATAATGTCTTAAGACCGGATGAGAGGCGGGGAAGGAACCCTGTGTCAATATTAGAAATGCAAGGCTTTCAAAGATGTGTGGATACCTGTGAGTTGCAAGACTTGAAGCAGCAGGGTCATCTGTTTACTTGGAGCAATAAGCAACTTGGAGATACCAGAATTACATTGTGAATAGACCGAGCATTAGTTAACCTAGACTAGATTCTTCAGTTTGAGTACTCTATTGCTACGGTTTTAGCAGAGGGAGTGTCTGATCATACTCCCTTTATAATACAGACTGATACTAAAATACGTAACTCCCCTAGAATGTTTAAATACTTTAATATGTGGTGTTTGGATAGCAGTTTCTCTACCCTGGTTAGCTCAAGTTGGATGCAGCAGGTGAAAGGAACCAAAATGTTTCAGCTAGTTCAGAAGTTGAAAAGGTTGCAGCTTGTTCTTCGAAAACTGGACAAGCAGAAATTTTCATCTATTCGAATAAGAACGCAGAAGACTTATCAAAGGTTAGTGGATGTTCAGAATGAAGTTCATTGTAGGCCAGATGATGTGTTAGCTCAGGCAGAGGAAAGGGTAAGGAATCATGAATACTTTCAGTTAGCCAAGGCTTTAGAATCTTACTGGTCTCAAAAAGCTAAGGAAAACTGGATTCAGCAGGAGGACAACAATACGGCATTCTTTCATGCTAAGGTTAAACAGAGAAACGTGAAGAATAGGATCTGGTCCTACTTAGATGATAATGGAAACTTGCAATATGAATGGAAAGATGTGGAAAATCACTTCCTTGGCTTTTTAAGTCACAGCTTGGTCAAAAAATGCAACGGGTTAAATCTGATGCTAGCGTTTACCTCCATGGCTCTAAGTTATCAATACAGCAGCAATTGGATCTTATAAAGCCTATTACAGAGAGTGAAATAAAGAAAGCATTGTGGAGCATTGATGGAAATAAGAGTCCGAGGCCTGATGGATTTTCGAGTGACTTTTTCAAGAAAACTTGGAATATAGTTGGAACTGATGTCATAGCAGCAGTTCAGGAATTCTTTAAGTCAGGGTGTATGTTAAGGCAGCTGAATTCGACCTTGTTGCCTCTTATTCCCAAAAACGATTCTCCAAAGAATGCAGGAGAATATAGACCCATTGCTTATTGCAATGTGGTCTATAAAAGCATCTCCAAGGTCTTGTGTGAAAGAATGAAGGATATACTATCATGGATTGTGAATGAAAATTAGAGTGCCTTTATAAAAGGTAGGCTTCTAATGCACAATGTTCTCATAGTGCAGGAGTTGGTCAGACTTTACAGAAGGAGAAACATCTCAGGAAGAGCACTAATGAAAGTTGATATAAGGAAAGCTTTTGACACAGTCGAATGGGATTTCATTGAAGAAATGTTGCAGGATTATGGATTTCCCGGACAGTTTATCCGATGGATCATGGCATGTATTACCACACCAACATTCTCATTAGCTATGAATGGTACCACAGTTGGTAATTTTGCTTGAAGATGAGGACTTAGACAGGGAGATCTCATATCTCCTCATCTATTTGTTCTTGTAATGGAGTATCTGACCAGGAAGCTTCACTCAATAACTGAGATGTCTGATTTTAAATTTTCATCCATTGTGTAAAAAGTTGAAGTTGACAAATATTTGTTTTGCAGATGACTTGATGTTGTTTTGCAAAGCAGATGAAAAGTCAATTCGAGGATTGATCACAGGTCTTGGTGAATTCTCTAATACTTCTGGATTGTTCCCCAACATTCAGAAATCTCATATCTTCTTTGGGGGAGTGAGTCCAGAGAAGAGGCGAAGTTTCTGTGACCTGACTGGTCTTGCTGAAGGTGAATTCCCAATGAGGTATCTTGGCATTCCTATCTCTCCCAAGAAATGGTCTAAAAATGAATGTGTTCAATTAATTCAGAGGATGATGGCTAGAATTAAGTGTTGGGAAACTAGGCATCTATCTTATGCTGCAAGAGTCCAGTTGACCAATTCTGTACTCATGTCATTGCATGTTTTCTGGGCCTGTTCCTTCATTTTGCCTAGTAGTGTTATAAAACAGGTGACCAGGATTTGCAGGGATTTTGTCTAGGGGACTAAGCAGACTGGCAGATCCTTACCTTTGATAGCCTGGGATATCTTATGTAAGAAGAAGGCAGGGGGAGGCCTGGGAATCAGAGATGTAAAACTCTGGAATCAAGCTGCCATCTTAAAGCAGGTTTGGAACTTGGCAAATAAAAGTGACACGTTACGGGTGAAATGGACTCATGAAGTTTACCTGAAGGGGCAATCTATATGGGAAGTGGAGAAGAAGCAAGATGCCAGCTGGCACTGGAAACAAATTTTGAAAATCAGAGACTTGGGGAGAGAAGGATTCGCAGGTAGCAAATGGAAAGGATGCACATCAGGTAAGTATAGTATTGCTGCTAGATACTCATGGTTACATGGTCACTCCCCTAAAGCTCCTGAATCAACCTTGATCTGGTCCAAATTAAACGTTCCCAAGCATGCTTTTATTCTTTGGCTTATGTGGCAGAGTAGATTATTGACTAAGGATAGATTGCTCACAATGTCCATCACAGAGATAAATCCTTTGTGTGCATTGTGTCAATCTTATCCTGAGAATCATCAGCATCTCTTCTTTAGTTGTACTGTTACTGCTGGCATTTTTTATCAGATTTGTATTTGGTTGGGAGTTAGAAAGATGAACACAGACTGGAACATATGGAGGAAGAATGTCAGAAGAGTTTGGAGAGGCACTAAGCTAAAATTCCTGCTGTGGAACGCAGCTGTTGCAACTATTGTGTATCACAGTTGGGAAGAAAGAAACAATGTCATTTTCAGGTCCAGAAGAAGAAGTATAGAAGATATTGTATTGCTAATCAAGAAGGAGCTATATCTTAGAGTTAAAATGTATTAGAGCAAGAAACTTTCCCCAGTAGAATCTAGATTGATTCAGAAGTTCTTTCCGGATCAAAAACTACTTAGTTGAGTAGCATAAGTTTTGACCTTTGGATGTAAATATGAACTTTATTGTTTATAATGAAAAGTTTTACAGTTTCCCAAAAAAAAAAAAATACTTTCCAGATCAAAACTACTTAGTTGAGTAGCATAAGTTTTAACCTTTGGATGTAAATATGAACTTCATTGTTTATAATGAAAAGTTTTATAGTTTCCCAAAAAAAAAAAATACTAAATCCCACTAATGAAACATTGATTTCGAAAAATAAAAACATAAATTATAAGGACTTAGTCAATCATTATAGCAACACATATACTGCAGAAAATTAATTTCTTAAACTGAGCAGAACTACAGATAAAAGAAATAGTGTATTTATTCCGTCATTCCACTTATGACATGCTGCTGCGATGGCTCCAGAATTAAGATCAGAACATTTGTTACCATTGACTTAAAAGCATTTCATGATGTCTTCATACCCATGTACCAATCTTTCAGACTTTTTATGGAATCACCCAGTCAACTTCAGTTTGGTTGAAGTTTTTGTGGCCTGTAATTTATGCATTAAACGGTTTTTGGTTAATGCAAAACAACACACTAAAGATTTAAAACCAAACAGTTTTTTTCCGGCGATAATTGATAATAATGGATTTGGTTTATCTTTATTACATAATAACTAAAGATAAAGATTGTAACCACACTTCAGGAAAAACCAAACAAATTCCAGCCAGTTACTAATACTGCATTTAATGAAATTAATACAAAAAAAAAATGATGACTATCATTTATAACTCTTTTGTAACCACACAATCATGTAAGAGCATATAGCAAAAGAATAACAGTCCACCTTGCAGTTACTTCCCTCATCATGACCATGAAACTATTAATCACTTGAAGAGGAATAATTTGGCCCTCTTCATATTGTTCTATTCCAAAACCCCCTCAATCAATGAAACTACTTCAATATCATCCCCACTAAGAAACATTGATTTTACAAAATAACTGCACAAATACTAAGGAGTGAGTAAATCATTGCAGCAAAACACGTACTCAGGAAAATGATTGTCTTACACTAATGATCTTATGCTCACATATTTGCAAAACTGTATATATCCCTTCATCCCAAAACTTTTATCCCCATACAGTAAGTAGTTGTAAAAATAATAATAATACACACTAATAATATTTTAATATAATAATAATTACAGGCATTGCCAGCAATAGTACATTGCAGCAAATCAATATAATGCACCAACATAATGGATTTATCTCCCAAAAACATGTGAGCCATTGTGCAGCAAATGTATTCCAGATCTAAAACTAAAACACAACAATTTAAATAGAAGAAGAAGAAGAAGAAGAGGAAAAAAAAAATTTCGGACATAGGCATTTATCCAGCGGTTACACACACAACTCATCATTGGGGAATTTCAGTTATATATCTAAAGCAGCAAAGGATAAAACCGAACATCAGGCACAACATAAGGTGCTCCATAAATTACACCTTTAAATGAATAAACCCACTAACTCATGAAAACATCAGGTGAATGGGTGATTATACTAACTATAACACACTTCCAAACCTGGAACATTTGCAACACACAAAAACTTTTCTCCACAACTGTAGGTTCACTTCCTCTCAAACTATAAACTCCTTTACTTTTATATTATTATATTATACAACACTTCAAAAATTCTGACACACAATTTCTTGTCTCTCTCAAACCACAGGCAAATTTTGAGCTTCAAACAATCCAGCATGGCAATAATGCGCGACGTCCAAGAGATTCATGAAGGTACCAGGGATTGGTACGCAATCATCACCGTACAAGAAAAGCTGCAGCCAAGGCAATCTACTAACGGAAACTTTCGATACCAGAAATTCATGTTCTCAGATTCAAAGGTAACATAAACAAAAGACATTACTTATTTTCATTCAAAATATATTCCGACTCAGAATAATTTAAACGCATTTCAAATGCCTAACGAGGAGGAAAAGTTGAGGCTGTGGTTTTCAACGATAACATTAAGTTGATGGGCGAAAGGCTAGAGATGTTTAAGACGTATCGGATCACAAATGCTGAAGTCAGAACAATCCCAGTCAAATTCCAGAAACCAGGAATAACTAAGACGTGGATTATCAACGAACGAACTCCGGTTATGGAAGTTGCTGAACCAACCAACACGGTGATGGTCGACTACAACTACACAACATTTGATGAGTTGGCCAAATTTATCGACAAGAAAAATGCACCTATTGGTAAGGAACATATCAAACACCCTCAAAATTTACTATTTACATAATGTACTTACTGCATTATAAAAGAAAGACTAACAAATGCACTTCGACACCCTTAACTAACAAACTAAATAATTCCAACCTTCTGCACAACTAATTCCTCAGATGTGCTTGGAGTCGTCATTGAGGCATTCCCACTGCGGAGCATATCAAAGGACAACAAGGAACAGACCGTGCAAAAATACCTTCTGCTGAGTGAAACGTATTTCTCTGTTTCTGCTAGGATACTCCAACCTACTTTTATAAACACAATAACATGCCTTCAACAATCCCTACACATGAACCAACTCTAATTATCGCTCTTGTGTTTGCAGCATGAAAGTGATTAGCTTATCACTTTGGAACGAATTTGTTGATGCGGTAGGAACAAAAATTGAACACGAAGTCATCAACCACCCGGTTGTCATCTGCCAACGTGTCAACGTCTCTTACTTTAACGGTACAAAAATATACATCACAATTTACACAACAAATTTTGCCATACTAAAGGTTGAATTTGCTTCCATTTGAATGACCACAAAACAGGAATCGCCCTCGCCAACAAGTACGATTCCATGATACTTGTGAACCCTCCTATTGACGAGGCACTGCAACTGAGCACCTGGCACAAAGTTGCTCAACCCCAGTATTGCACGTTTCTGAAAAAATATACTATGCTTCTTTCCGTAGCACTATATTCCACAGTCATTATAAACACTATATTTATGAATATCAAAAACCTTCCTGTAATAGGGCTTAGATAAATAGCCAGAAAATCAGGGAATTGGTGGAGAAAAGAAACTTTCAACACCATGCCCCAAATATGACAATGGACACGGCCCAACCAATAACTAATGTGGCAAACATACTGAAAAATCCAAAGGTAACATCAGCTTAGACACACAGTGAGATAAAGTACTAAATCAAACATTAGCTCATCATAATTCAAAATGCAGGTTATTTGGGTCCAAGTCTTCCTCAGCATCAAAAACATTCCCCAAAGGTATTGGTACAAGGCTTGCTGGAAATGCTACACTGCAACAGATATGCCACTCGGTGAAGAATACACTTGCAATGGTTGTGGAAAGCCCCAAGAAGCTCAGGCCATGTACATTACATAGAGCGGAAATAAATTTCGAAATTTATGGAATACAACTAAATTACAAAATATTGAACAGATGTCGCTTCGATATTGATCTAAACGATCGAAGTGGAACTATTACCGGAAGCGCATATGCAGAGTTAGCTGAGGAGATTTTGGAACTACCAGTAGATGTCCTGAGGAATTACAGCTTTAAGGTAAAATAGGAAATGATGTCATGCCATTTTACTGAACATATGATGCCATTTTACTGAAATAATAATCCATTAACATTGCAGGAGATAAATACTCATCTGTCCAAAGTCCACAAAAAATTTGATGAAAAACCATTTATAGTTCAACTCAAACCATCAAGGAAGAAACGAAGTGGACAAAAGCGTCGATACAACATTGTCTAATACTCCGAAGTACCAGAGGGTACTGAGCTTTTCCAGCCTAATGAAATACTAGCTTCTTCAGGAGTTAAGAAAGGTAAAAATAAACAAATTAGTGGGAAAACCAATATTATATCCATATTCCATTATCTGACTAACTAACCACATACACAGACCCATCTGATGAAGAAACCAGCACGACACCCCCACATGAAAACAAGTCCATGGAATCAAGTCAAGACGAGGAGGCGGAGGAGGAGGAACCATCAAGCGAAAATCAAAAACCAATGAGTGACTATGAGGATACTGAGACAACCCAGCACCAGGAAGCAGAGGACACTACAGATGAAGATGCAAGTGAGGAAAAGCAAACTAAGAAGCCCAAGCAAGCTTAACACACGTACCTACTCCTATTACTACGTAAGCAAAGCCTTTTCATTCCACTCCTAAACCACTGAATAGGTTTCAGTGTGCTAATATATGTATTGCCCATTTAGTCTGTGGCAAGTTACTTTGTTCTTCTTTGTTGAATATCCTAAAGCACTGATTTGTAATCAGAGCCGTAGTGCAGCAAATGTATTGTAATTCTGATTCTTTAAATATAGTCGCGTTAAAATACATATTAGACAAGTCTTATGTCAAGATACTAATTAAATCAGACTCAAACTTTACTATTACCTGTGATGTGTGAAAATTTATAGAGTTGCACAAACAACGCAGAACTAAAATATGTGTAGGATGCCTAATCAGAATACCTCAATTAGAAATGACGGAATTAATAATAAGGTAAAATTAACAACGCGTGGTTTAGTAATATCTACAAATCCGTGCAACGGGACAAAAGATATTGTGTCTGAATGTGGCAATTAAAACCCGTTCTATCAATTAACTCATCCGATTTAGCCCACATTGAGATTTATCCGTTTCAAAGTTCAAACTTTGGGCCATATCTCTATTTTAATTCTCATAGACTAATCCAACCCTTGTTCCTTGCCAACCCACTCTGTTTAATTATACCCGGTAAAACAAATCAAATCATTTCCCTATCATTTCCGGCAACATCAACCGGACCACCTTGCTTCAATCATCTCTAGACCATTTCTATGTTCCTAAATAATGAAAAATAGAGTGTGGAACGAAGGAATCAGCTAGGGAGCCGAAAGGAAGGAAAAAAGCAAAAGGGAAGAAGATAAAACGGTAAAGTTGAATCGATTTCATTTTCTCTGAGCTTGGATTCCTTTTCTGTTTACCGGTATCCTGATGTTGTAATTTCAATTAAGACAGTTTGAGTAATCTTAGGACTGTTAATTAATATAAGTTTGAAAGTGGTTTTGTCAATTTTGGTGGGTTACCGAGAAATGTTGGTGGCTTTGGGTGTTGGGAAGTTTTGGTTTCTGGGTTTGTTCTTTCGTATGTAAGAATTAGATTAAAGTCCTTTTAGATGACTGAAAAATCGCCCCATGACCTCCAATTAAAGTTTGGAAATAGGAAAAGAAAAAAAAAAAAAAACAAAAGGAGACTGTTAATTGTAATCTGTTTGAAACAGAAAATGCAGAAGAGGAAGGGGAAATGATTTTGCTGTTGGTTCGACGTTGGGGTGGGGGTGAGCAGAGCGCTTTGTAACGTGGGGGGTAAAAACGAAGAAGAAGAAAAGAATAAGAAGGGAATGGGGGGGGGGTGGGTTTGGGGAGTGGGGTTCGTAAATGTGCTTTCAGGAACTTAGGTTAAGGGTGCTTACATGCTATCACTTGTAGTTAAGTCTAAGTCAAGATAGGAATTAGTAAAATATCTTGAAATATAGTAGTGAAAATTAGTTTACAACAAGCCAGTAAGTAAACCTAGTATATACTTTTTCTCGGAAATGATTGTCCACTTCAGATTTTTATTTTTAGTTCGAAATTGTACTAAAAGTGAAAATCCAAAACTGGAACAATCATTTTGGGATAGAGGGAGTACTAAATTGTGCATATAACTCTATGAACCTCATTAGATAAGTTGAATCAAACGTTAAAAATGTAAAAGTCAACTTATTTAACATTAGAACAATGCCTGAACTTAAAATTTAGCTAGCAAAGAAGTAGCATATATTAACTCACTCTATGTGGAATGCAGGTCAAGCCACTGAAACTTTTGGTAGCTTAGAATCATCATGTACGATCCACAGATAGAAGAAGGGAAAGGTGAGTGTTCCCCACCTTATTTCTATATATTTATCATTGAAGTCTTTCCTTAGCTTTTATTAATTTTCATGTACCATGTATGTGAATATGAATGTGGGTGTGCTTGTGTCCTTTTGTTGCAAACTGTGTATATTGCTTCCATATGTTTTGTGGGACTTCAGTCGGTGACTCTGTGTGATTGGTCCCTGGTGTAGTGTGGCACCTGGGATTGGAATGTTTGTGGTTGGTCCTTGGTGAAGTGTGACGCCGTGAATTGGGAATGTTTGGGGCTTTGGTCCGTGTTTGGTCTCTGGTTGGAATGTAATGTCTAAGTTTGTCCATTTAGTCATGAATCTCTAGGTCTTGAATCTTTAGCTTCTGTAGTAAGGTTTTGGTACTGTATTTTCGTTTTCCTTTTGGATTCATGTAGACGGATTGCAAACAAAATGGTTTCTTTATTTCATTTTTTTCTTTTTTATAGGCGATTGTAAGTATAAAGTGATGCGAAGGCTAGTCTATTTGAAACCTGCGGCTGCTATGTTGTATGTTTACTTCATTTCTAGCAATTCTGCTTGAGCAACTTTCATATCTGTGAATTACTTCGAAAAGTACGTCACATGTCGAACCATTTTGTCAGATGTTGATGGTCTCTTGCCAGTTGCTTCCAGACTAGAACCTCCCCGTCACTGCTATCTTGAGGCTCTGATGTATTTCATCTTTCATTACTATCATTTCTGAGTTCTGATCCTCTTTTCATCGTACTCGAATATACCCTTCCCGCTTGTAAAGTTTGTTTGGGTTAAAAAAATATATGATGGTAATAGCTCCGTTGAATTTCCAGCAGGATAGTTGGTTAGTTAGAGTTTGTCTACTCACGACAAATCATAGCTATAAAATTTGTTTTCAGGTACACATTTTGAATCAATTTTCTTTTATTAAATTTTCCATTTCCTTTTCGCGTCAAATCTTCTATTTGCTATCCTGTATGAGTCCTGGTGAGAGCTGGGCAGAGGCCTGCCTAAGGCTCCTTATTTGGTGTTAAGCTGGTTGGAGGGGGTTAGGAGATGTTACAGTATCTATATCATACATTACAAATTCATAATGTATGGTTCCCTGTGTTGATGTGGTTGCAATCAGTTTGGACAGCAGGAATGATCACATTAATAAACCCTAAGTTTCCCTTAGAAAAGTTTGTTCTTGTCAGAAATGCGATAATGATGTGACCAAACCTATTTAATAAGATGTTGCTGCATCTTCTCTGTAGGCTTTCTCACATTCCTTTATTTCTGGAGACACTGGGCTCCCAACATCCTGATTTCAAGGGACGCTTAGATTGTACAGTTTGTTGGTGTACATCCAGCTTCATGGCGTTATGGATAAGCAAATAGGTCATTTTTATCCAGGGCATAAGGCTAGATTCGTATTAATGTAACAAAACCAAGCTATATTATTTTCTGTGTCTTACTGAGAAAAATGTTGATCTATCTCATTCACTTCGTTGTACTAATTTTGTAGTTGTACCAGACACTATATAAACTCATGTATGTTAGAAAAAAGCTAAATACATCTTCCTGGACAAGCTTTGTTCAAGGATTATCATGTCCTTAATATTTGTTAGACTTACAGGAATGCTTATTTAGAAGATGGCTGTACCTATACTTTGATCTTTTTAGTTTATTTCAGATGTAAAAATGTGCAGTTTGGCTGAGTTGGTGCATTGTTTTTCTCTTTAATATGATGAAGTTAAGGATCATATATGTACATGCAGCTGATTTTGTCTTCAGGGCTTCTTTATGTACATCTTATTAGCGCTTGAAAGTACATCTTTCTGTTTGTCGGAAGTGATGGCTTAACAGATTAGTAGCATGCCGTATTGCACAAACTTGCAGATTTTGCTACTTCTCGATTGCCTTGTAAAATTCGTTTGCTAAAAAGACGTTACCGTTCTTGTATGTCTATTCTAATTATTCTTGTGTCACACAATTCCAGGAAGCGAAGGATCCCGGTCATACTACCAAGCCCAAAGAATGGAGCCAAGGATGGGACAAGAGAGACAAGGAAGCCATGATTCAAGGTCTCAGCCACGTGGTGAAGAAATGGGTATTCGGTATGAGGAGAATTATATGCCACAAAGTTTTGAAGGACTTGAGCAGAAGTTCCTCGATGATATCATGAAATTGAGCAAGGAGCAGAATGATGCGGAAGATGCTGAAAATGCAAGGCATCGAGAGGTAGGTTCACATGAAGATTTTTTCTTTTTCTTTTTCAAGGTTTTGCATTTTCAAATAGAGTTTGGCAAAGAGATTCTTAAATAGGTTTTATCTATCTTATCGATTTTGGATTTCCATGTGAAGTTTTCAGCATTGATGACCTTTGGTTCCTTTTTAGTTTCCTCCAATTTCTGAATAGACATTTGGTCGCACAAAATATAGAAAGGTTGGGTTTGATAAGATTATTTGACAGCTGACACAATTCAATGGCTTTTTCTTATAATGAGACAAACCCTCACTGTTTGTTCACCCCACTAATCTTCAAATCATCTGCAAGAAGAATAATGGTTTCCGTGCAGACTTTTAATGAGCTTGGCATTTTCAGTTTAATCCATCTGGTGGACAATTAGACATTACTCCCTAGTCACATTATAAGTCTCGCTGAATTTCTCAGTGGAGGAGATATTAGCATAACTGTTCTCTTAGGAGCGCATCCATCCTGTATTGATTAGCATCTTGTAGGCACATTAACTCCTTCGTCATTTGTAAAACCAACTATTCCCTTATTTGCATTGACTAGTTACAGAAGTGAATCATTAAACTTCACAACATTGTCACATTTCCCTGGTAGGAAATCAAATATACCTTGTAATGTGGAAGACAAAACAATTGCTTTATTATTTCGATGTATGAGAGAATTTTATTTGAAACTGATACAAGTTATATCTGCTGCTTTTTACAGAGAATAAATATCATCAATGTACAATATCAAGAACAGCTAGTTGCTCTCAGAGCTCGACATGCCAATAGAAGAGAGGAACTACTTCGCCAGGAATCTCATTCGCGACAGCAGCAGTACCAGCAGGACCATCATCGTCATCATCATTCCAGCAGTGGCCCAAATGACCCTCGAGGTTACAGTGCAGCTCCCGGTAGAGAACCTCATAGACCCTATAGTGCCGATTCTCATAATGAGCGAACACGATTACCTGGTAGTGGTAGGAACAATGAATACGAGCCTAGGGCTCTGTACCACCTAGGAGGATACAGTGCAGCTCCTGGAAGAGAACCTCATCGACCCTATAGCGCCGATTCCCATAACGAGCGAACAAGATTCCCTGGTAGTGGTCGGAGCAATGAATTTGAGCACAGGGTTCAGTACCATGGTGGCCGAGGATCGCGATATTATTAATGTGTACTTGTAATTTTAGATTTTGCAGTTTAGTTTATGTATTTGGGGTGTTTTTTCTTACCTTTACTCAAGAGAATCATGATTTGTTTGTGTTGTAAAAACACTTCCTGTTCTGAAACCATTTCATGAACAAATGGAAAGAGCTTGAATAATAACAGCAAGAGTACAAGGAAAACTACCATATTCGAACAGAAAACACCACAAATTGTTACGGTTTCTTATTCATCACAAACCCAATACCAAAATCAAGAAATTCTCAATAAAACAGCATGGAAGCAAATCTTCTAATTCAAGAGGGCTTGCTGAATTTGCGACCTGTAATTCGTTCGGCTTCGTATATGATGTGATTAATCAGTCCCCTGGCAGCATCGTCTTTCAATTTCTGAATCTTGTCGGGATCGGTCTCGTGCATATTCTTCTTGAACTGATCCCTCACCATGCCGACAACGAGTTCCGTGTTGTGTTGCTTGTGGCCGATGTATTTAGCTCGTCGCAAGCATTCCCGATAAAGCCGGATGACGTTGTTTGCTAGCTCCGGCGGCAGAGCTGTTTGCAGAGAAGGAGCCATTCTTTTGAATCAGTCCTTGGCGAAGACCGCGATAGCCTAGAGGTGGCGGCGGTGGCGGAGATTCTCAAAATGGAGATGAAATTTAGAAGATCGGTGGTGGTGGCCGGCGGCTGAAGGAGAAGAAAAGAACGGAGGAAATGAAGAAGTCTATATAGGTTTTGACTTTTGAGAAGGTTTGTTTCCTTTGGGCTAAATGTTTAGGCCGCAATGAATTGGCGTTACAGGCTTTCGTTTGGACTTACACTTTCCTTCTTTGGACGTTAATTGGGTTTGAATTTCAAGATTGTCATTTTAGAATATCTGATCATTTTTCCTTTTTTTTTTTTGAAAAATAGAATTTTGCCTTTTATCACAAACAAATCTTTAATTTTCTTTTATTATTACTATTTTTGAAAGATTTCTTTTATTTTTTAATTTCAAGAGATTTCAGTCATTTATGCTGGAAAGCATTACTAAATAATACATTTGGCATAAATAATGCTGCACAGAGACTTAATACGCTTTCTCTCTCTTCCTCGTTCTCTCTCGGTGTTCATTAGCCCACTGCTAACGTACGCCCGCCATGCCTCGGGGGAGGAAGCCGACGCAGAAAGCGGCCCAAAATGAAGTGAAATCAACGAAGAAAGAAAAGATAATCAACAATTAGCAAGCAGAAATGCAGGCTACAGGAAAAGAGGGTCAACCGGGAGGAAAATTGCAGAAGGAAAAAAACCCTAGGAAAATTGGGGACAATGCAACGCAGCAAATTGATGAGCAATTGATGGGCAAAGAAGCATCAGGAATGCAAACAAAGGATACGGAGAAGCAGCAATTGATGAGGGAACAAGTGAAAGAAGGTGAAGGCAAAAGTAGTACTTGGGAAACCTTTGACGTCAATAAGATGAAGAAAGCCGGGGCCAAACATGAATTTGTTCCACCAAAAATTGTTAATGGGGTAGCAGTAGCAAGAATTAAGCCCCAAAAGGTGAAGGATGAAGCAGACTACTGGAAACCATCTATCATCAGTTTCGTTCTGGGAGCTCACCCACCTTTTCACATCATGGAAGCTTTTTATAAGAGACTATGGGGAAATCTTGGTGTTGATAAGGTGATTCTTTTACCCTCTGGCTTGTTTCTTGTTCGATTTAAGTCTTTGGATGCTAGAGATGAGGCACTAAAATTGAACATATACCATTTTGGGAATGGATATCCTGTTATAGTAAAACCTTGGACTGTAGAGGAAGGGATTAACTATAAAGAAGTAAGCAATGTTCCTGTTTGGATCCAATTCCCCAAACTAGAACTGAAATACTGGAATTTGGATTCACTAAGTTGCATAGCTAGCACCTTAGGAACTCCCATTATGACTGATGAGCTGACGGATAGTAAAGATAGAGTCAATTATGCTAGAATTCTGATTAAGATGAAAATTCAAAAGGAGGTGCCTAATGTTGTGTACTTCGAAGATGAGTATGGTATAATACAAAGCCAAGAAGTTTATTATGAATGGAAACCAATTTGCTGTGAGGAATGTGGAGGGTATGGACATGATACTAGAAGTTGTCAAAAAAAGAAAATGCCAGTTGCCCCTGCTCAGAAAACACTTGAAACTAGAAAAGCTCAGGAAGAAAAGGAATGGAGGGAGGTGAGTAAGATGAAGAAGACTATAGAGCAAACTGGGGACAATGGATTGAATGGCAGAAAAGCTGAGAACAATGGAAAAAGCCCTGTCAGGTTTGCCATACTAAGCAGGAACTCAGAGGAGGATGTACAGCAACTATTAGGGGGAATTGAAGGTGAAAGTAGTGAAAGGAGGTTAGAAAGCTTGCATAAGGAGATTGAACCTGACCCTGATATCCATGAGTAATATCCTCTCTTGGAATATCAGGGGCCTCAATGCCCCAATAAAGCAGAAGGAACTCACTCGAGTCCTTGCTGCAAACAAGGTTAACGTAGCATGTGTCGTGGAAATCAAGATGAAGCAAGAAAAGGTAACTCAGACAATTAAAAACATGAACCAGCAGTGGGAAGTAGTAGTAACTGGAGAGCAAAACAAAAAGAGTAGAATGATGGTAAGACTGTGGAACTACAAGCCCTGGACTATACCAATCAACTAATACACTGTCATGTGAGGGATAGAAGAACTGGATGGGAATACCTTTTAACAGGTGTATATGCAAGCAATGAAGAGAAGGAAAGAGTGAAGTTATGGGAGAAACTTGAATCCATCAGTCAGTCAGCCAATATGGCATGGATTGTATGTGGAGACTTTAGCAACATTTTAAAGCAAGAGGAGAAACTTGGAGGACAGAAGGTGATACTCATGGAAACTGAAGCATTCAGCTCATGCCTAGATGCCAGTGGGTTGCAGGATTTGAGACAGCAAGGTAGCCTGTTCACCTGGTGCAACAAGAAACTAGGAAACGATCGTATATATGCTAAATTGGATAGGAGTTTAGTCAATGGACTGTGGGTTGACCAATTCAACCATTCTATATGTACAATGCTACAAGCTGGGATCTCGGATCATGCCCCGTTACTTGTACAGATGGAACTGGAGATGCAGTATAAGAAGAAGCCTTTCAAATACTTCAACATGTGGAAAATGGATTCCACCTTTCTTGAAAAAGTTGAAGGAATATGGAATAAAAGAATCAGGGGGACAAAAATGTTTCAGGTTGTGCAAAAATTGAAAATATTGAAGAAAGAGATGCTCATGTTGAACAAGAACAAATTCTCTAGCATCCAAATACAAGTGCAGGAAGCCCGAATGGCACTTGAAAAAGCACAACAGCAGGCTACATTAAACCCTGATGAGGAACAGTTGTACCTAGTGGAGAAGCCTATCAATGCTACATTAGCAAATATGTGGCATTTGATAGCTTCATGAGGCAAAAATTGAGGGAAGACTGGATTAAAGAGGGGGCCACCAACAGCCAATTTTTTCATTCCAAGCTTAAACAGCAAATGATAAGGAATCGAATATGGTCGATAACCAGTGAAGAAGGAGAAACTGTAAGAGAGTGGAAGCTGGTGGAAGAACACTTCCTGAATTACTTTCAAAACCAGCTGGGACAGAAAGCTTCAAGAGAATCTATGAGGAGGGAAGTATTTGAACTAGGACCTAGACTCTCATTGGAGCAGCAAATGCAACTGATCATACCATGCACCAGAGAAGAAGTCAAAAAAGCACTATGGAGCATCAATAGCACAAAAAGCCCTGGCCCTGATGGATACTGGAGTGACTTCTTCAAAGCTACCTGGAAGATCACTGGGGAAGAAATAACAAATGCAGTGCTTGAATTCTTCGAAAATGGTATGTTACTTAAACAACTAAACTCCACTGTTCTTGCTTTAATTCCGAAAAATGAAAATGCTTGTAATGCAGGGCAATATAGACCAATAGCATGCTGTAACGTGCTTTATAAGATCATTTCTAAAGTGTTATGTAATAGATTAAAAGTAGTGTTACCTGTTTTGGTAGATAGCAATCAGGGGGCTTTTGTTGGGGGTAGATTAATTTTACACAACATTTTGATCACTCAAGTGTTGATTAAACTATATCGAAGGAAGGGGATTAGTGGGAGATGTATATGGGGGGATAGAAAAAACAGTCAGACAAGAAATATGCAATATTACGGGTTTTAGGGAAGGCCAATTTCCAATGTAGTATCTAGGAGTCCCTTTATCTCCCAAAAAATGGAGTCAAATGGAATGCCAAGTATTGGTGGATCGAATAACTAAGAGGCTGAAATGTTGGAGTTCTCGCCACCTATCTTATGCAGGAAGAATACAATTAATCAATTCGGTACTAATGAGTATGCATGTCTACTGGTCGTCAGCTTTTATACTTCCACGCAGCATTACTGAAGCTGTCAACCGCAAATGTAGAGAATTCCTATGGGGAGTTAAGGAATCTGGTAGATATTATGCCTTGGTAGGATGGGATATTGTGAGTAGAAGCAAATCAGAGGGAGGATTGAGCATCAGGGATGCTAGGGTTTAGAATGAAGCGGCAATCCTGAAACAGGTGTGGTGATTAGCAAGTGGAAAAGATAGCCTGTGGTTGAAGTGGACTCATGAAATGTACTTGAAAAAGACTAACTTCTGGGAGATACAAGCTAAGCCTGATAGCAGTTGGTCGTGGAAGCAAATCTTCAAAATGCGAGATAAAGCAAGAGAGGGCTTTATAGATGGGAAATGGAGGGGAATAGGAAAGGTGTATATACTGTACACTCAGGGTATAAATGGCTGCAGGGAGAAAGACAGAAGATGCCTGGAACATCAGTGATTTGATCAAGGATGAATGTGCCTAAGCATGCATTCATAGCTTGGCTGATTTGGAAAGGGAAAGTGTGGACTAGTGATAGATTAATGCAGTACAATATCTCTGTTCAAGATGAAAACTGTTGCTTATGTACAGGGTAGAAGGAGACTATAGAACACCTGTTTTTCCTGTGCCCTTTTTCCAGTGAGTTGATTGGCAAAATGAAGGATTGGTTGGGGATTCGGAACTTAGCCACTGACATGAGAAGATGGAAAAAGAAGGTACTGCATACTTGGAAAAAGACTAGGCTCAGAAAATGCATTCTGTATCCTTCACTGGTGGCCTGTTTGTATAGCATTTGGGAGGAAAGAAACTATAGAATCTTCAGGGATTAAAAGCGAAATGTGGCAGCTATCTTCACAGAACTTCAAGAAGTGATAAGAATCAGGGTCCAACAGTGGAAAGGCAACACACTGACAGAAGCGGAACGCCTAATCCTTCACAGTTTGATGCAATCTTGAGTGATCAAATGGGGCCGTTTTTTTTTTTTTTTGTGTAAATATGATGTAAATATAGAGTTTTTGGTAGGACCTTGTGCTTCCAGATTATCATCTATATGAAATTTACAGTTTTTACCAAAAAAAAATGCTGGACAGCATTACCAAATAATTCATTTTTGTCCAAATGGATAAGGCGTAAAGTGAAGTATAATCTATTTCAAATCATAAAATTTCGTTTTGTCCATAAAATTAATAAATGATTTTTTTCATAGATTTTTTTTTTTTTTTTTTGGAATAGATACCGGCTAAAGATTTTCTTTGTTCTATTTTTCTTATCGTCTTAGTGCCATGCAAAGTCTACCATGCTAAATTAAATACATAATTGAATCACTTCATTGTGTTTTTGTTTTGGTGAAAATTATAAATATTTTATTTACATATATAAGGTGTCTAAGTACAAGTTTTCTACCGAAATTGCATGATTAATTCACATAATTGATTGACAGTATGCAAAACAGTTGCGACACTACTGGAAAGGTTGCAAGAAAATTAGTTG